GTGTGTGTGTGTGACGACTAGACCCAACAAGTGGAGAGTTTGAAAGAATAACGTCTTTAATTCTCAAACACGGTGAAACAACCTTTGTGGCGTCTCAGCAGGACGAGTACATCCCGAGCCTCCTGGCGGCCTCAGAGATCCGGGGCCTCTTCCTGTTGGGGAATGGGTAGTGGCTGTTGTTCAGGTGGATCCAGGACGAAGAGCCCGCTCCACCTACACTCAGCTGCCTGGTGAACCGCAGGGCGGGGGCCGTCGACTTCCTGGGGCCCCTACAGGTCGGGGAACAGATGATATTTCCTCCATGTAGGTTGGTGGTGGAACTGCAGGGGGAGCAGGGGAGGGAGGCGATGGGAGAGGCGCTCTCGTCTGAGCTGGTCAGAGAGGGGGGGGCCAAATGGTCAGGAAGATTTTCTCTGGATCTGGTGACAGCGACCTGAACCGGATCCACTCTGGAACCAGCCACAGCGTTGCTGTGGAAACGCTTGTCTTCTCTGAAGGAGCTGCCGAGAGAATCTGAATCCTCACAGAGTTTTCTGTCTCTGGACTCAGACGACGACCACGGACGCCTGAAAACACAAAACAGAGTTACCAGTTTCTCTGGTTTCATTAAGTTAACCAGAACAATTTCAGTAAACCGGCCTCTGTATCAGTCTGGGTCCAGTTACCATGGAAACCACTGCTCCACCAGGTGTGGAGTTTAAGGTGGAGAACGTCAGGTCATATTCATAAATACATGATTGCATGACACATCCACCACTGATGACATCATCACCACTGATGACATCATCACCACTGATGACATCATCACCACTGATGACATCATCACCACTGATGACATCATCACTGATGACATCATCATCACTGACATCTTGTCACCAGATATATTTTACAGTGTAGACGTGTCAGTATTATATTGAATCAGTTCGTTACTTCCTCATCTCTCATGTCACCTGGAGGAACTGTTGATGTTGTCCGTTTCAGGGGGGAAGACCGGGAGCTGCACGGTGACACTGGGGCAGGAGCGGCGGTGCAGGTCCATGTGGACGTGCCAGAGGTCGAAGGTCGACAGGTCGGCAGCGATGGTTGCAGCCGGTGATGATGACATCAGACCCTGAGTGACGGGGACGATGCTGACGGTCTCTGACAGCTTCTCTGAGACTGGAGACACAAGTGATTTGAAAAAAACATCTCAACTTTAATTATTGATTATATAGTGTATTGT